AAGAAAATACTATTCAAAAATATATCTGATAGAATATCTAAATTACAGTGTAGATGCTCTAGAAATACATGCCTTGCTTACTTTTAAACAACTATTTTTGAATAGTATTTTCTTCTTGTATTGGTTTTTGAATCCCCCTTTTATATATATAACAATTATTTCAAGAAATTTGAATATTTGAAATTATTTTTGTTTATAATGTTTAAAATTACAATTTCTGATATAATGAATTTTCTATGAATAAATTACAGTACAGAAATAGACATTTAAATATTAAGGAATTGTATATTATATTCCATCTACAAAAACATTACAAAGAATAGTAGTAAAATGTTTTGGTAAACCAGGGAAGAGTGAAACTTTTAATTGAAAAAAGTCATAACTGCAAATTATTTTGATAATATTCTGTCTGAAATGATATCTTTCTATTCTAATTTTCTATGGACTAAATGCGCTGGAAATTAAATTACTGTTGATCCTATCCCTTTCCATTTTTTTTTGCACACTAAATTTCTTCAAATGACAATTATTTAAAGATATTTTAATATGTGAAATCATCTTTATAATGTTTTGTCTAAAATTATAACACTTTAGAATTTTCTAAGAGCTAAATTACAATATAGATGGTCCAGTAATTTAAACAATTAGATTAAGCTAAATTAAATATTCAATTAAATAAAATTAGCAGACATCTTAGATTAACATTTTATATTTGAATTTTATAATCTCTAAACTGTAATCCAGCTGAGTGAAAACTCAGGGGTCAGTGGTGAGGGATATACGTGACACTCGGCAGTCGTCTCAGGTAGAGTTAGTTGTCACAGGAAAAGGCAGTTCACATCCTATATAGTGCATCAGCACTGCTCGCATGCGCTCATCACCCGTCTCTGCCCTATACATGCACTGACATTACCAAGTGTTAGACATCCCATAATACAAGCGATTTGAGGTTCAACTGCAGCTAACAAACATATTGTTAAGTGATAAATTGCTGGTACAAAAATTGCCAACTGATAAGCTGCTGGTACAAATGAAGGTTATTGGTTAAAAAAAAAAAAAGAAATACTTATGTTTCGTATCAATATGGCGATGATGTGCATGTATTTGTAATGCGTAGGGCCCCCGCCTGGTCCCTTCAGAGAGGCACATTTCTCTGGTAAAGCATTCCCATGATTGATGTCCCTCGGAGACTTGTGGGCCCTAAATATTACAGAGAGCGCAACTGGCTCATGAATGCATGCCGTTATAATTCAACAGTGTGAAAAGTAATAAAACTGCTCAGGCATTTATGGTTGCAGAGCCAGGGCTCTTAATGGCTTTTTTTTGGGGGGGAGGGGGAATTTGCATGCATATTACAAACCCATGTGTGTTTCCATATACTGAACTGTCACAATTTTATGTTGTAATTTGATTTAATTTCTAAAACATCTGATCAACAATAATGCACACTTATTTGTATGCAGAGCAGAAGCAATATTGTATTAAAGTGACAGTACACCCAAAATTTTTTGTCATAACTGATGTGTTTTAAATATACTTAATATCCATACTTTGCATTCAAGATAAAAGTTGTATCTGTGCATGCATTGCCCGAGGGAACTGAACTCATGAGCTTGGTGTTGCAGAGACCATCTATTACTTTTTGAGCTTTCTGAGGAGACTTTTGTGGAGTTTGGCACAAGCTGTGTAAATCATCATCTAAAGCCACTGCATGGAAAAGAGCAGCTTGAACATTCTGTCAAACCTCTCTTTTTGTGGTTTACAGAAAAAATTTAATAATAATGGGGATAGAGCATCATCATTGTATAAATAAAGTGCATAAAGCCTTAAATAAAATTTTAAAAAATTATTTTAGATGTATTGATTTATTGTTTAATTAATTTTCATTTTCATTTAACTGTATTAATTTGTATTTATTTATTATTTTCCCAATTCTCCGGCTGTTAAGAGTGATAGTAAATAATGACAGAATTTTCATTTCTGCTGACTATTTAAACCTCTCTTTTTGTGGTTTACAGAAAAAATTAAATAATAATGGGGATAGAGCATCATCATTGTATAAATAAAGTGCATAAAGCCTTAAATAAAATTTAAAAAAATTTATTTTAGATGTATTGATTTATTGTTTCATTAATTTTCATTTTCATTTAACTGTATTAATTTGTATTTATTTATTATTTTCCCAATTCTCCGGCTGTTAAGAGTGATAGTAAATAATGACAGAATTTTCATTTCTGCTGACTATTTCTTTTTTAACACAGAGACACAAGATCCTATCTAGTGAGTTGAAAAGGTCCAGCTTTTTCATCAGTGCAACAGAGGTCATCGGTCACCAGAATGTTTTATATCTAAGGCAGATTGTCTGGTTTTGTTGTCATCAGATTGCACGGTTTCTCATTCCTCTGCTATGCCAACAACACCTAATTGCCTTCACCTCAATGGCCACACTGAGGAAATCTCAACAAGGCTCTTTGACATCTCTGCTGGATGGCTGATCATCAGCTGCGCTCTTGGCAAGGCTGAGTACCTAAATTCAAAGTTTCTTCCGTCCCTGTTGAAGGTCAGTTTTTTTTCGTCTTCTTGTTTTATCTGCCATTGCATCAAAACCCTGGAGTCATACTGGATCACGCCACAGAAACCAGCTGATTGAGCAACATCACAAGTCAAATTTGAAGAATGCTTCATAACTCATGTGGCCTTCTGCAGCTTTAGTCATTGTCAACGACATTACGGCAAATGACTCACTACTGGTTTGACTTTAGCGCAACACAACCTTTTACAATAATTCACTCTGTGGAACACACACAAAGATATTCTGAAGAATGTTAATGCTGTTCTTTTCCAATTAAAGTGAATGGGGTTGGATGATGCGACACTCCAAAAATGACAAAAAGAGCCAACAAAGCACCACAAAAGTAGTCCATATGACTTCTGTCAAATCTTATGTCAAACCTGGTGTGATTTGTCTTGATGCACAATTTTCCAGTATACACACACACATACACAACTAAGCTTTGATAGTAGTTGTATACATGTTTTGTTCTACAAAATAAAGTAATATAGGTTTGGAAGTATATGAAGGTGTGAAAATTAAAATTAAATTGTCATTTTCAGCCCAAAATGTTGCTGCAAACTGAAACAGGTGACTAATAAAAAAACGACTAATCTTATTTCCCCTTCATTCTGACCACATACACTATTAACTAATGTCTCCGTGCTGCCAAAAGCACTACGATCTTGTTGGCACTATGTACTTACTGGCAGTACAAGCTTATTGGTGCTCCTTGGCCTTATCCTTGATTTATATATTTTGCTATTAACGCAAGTATTAGTCAAACCTAAAATATCCACTTTTGTATGATAGCATAAGCCAAGAAAATACATTTTCTCATTAGCTGGTCTGTTGATTTTGCCTACAGCTGTCTAAAGCAATGTCTTTAACCTTTGAACAAGGTGGGAAATTCAGATTTGTTATTTGGTCAAAATGAAAATATAAATGGGCAATTTCCAAAAAACTTAGACCTAATCCTTCACAGAATTAAACAGTACATTGTACCAAGAAAATGTGTTTTTCTTAAATATTACGCAATGTATTTAAATACTGGTGTGTAAAATAGGCAAACATGCATATATAATTCTTTTTAAGAAAAACATATTATTTTAAGTAAAACAAAAAGCTGAAATTAGGCTTTTACAGCCATGAAATTCAAAACCCAGGCAATATCCTTGACTGCTAAAATATATGTAAATCAATGTGAAATTGACATTAAATCCTTTGGACTAATCTGTCCATCCCACAAGAAAATCATATCTGTCATATTTCCCTACTGGAAAAGCCACACATGGTTTCACTTCATAATAAGCCTGTCTGATTCAACTTGAATGAGATATTTGTCTCTATTTGCAAGTTAAATTAAATAATGATAAATTGAAAAAAAAAAAACTTTTTGAAAACTAGGTTAATATTTGATACATAATGCACATAAAAAGTGATTTCTGTTACATAAATTACGATTTAGTTCATTTAAGATTTTATTACTTAATTTTATATTAATTAATTTGCTTATTAATTTAATAAGGCTTGCAAATCACAGTTCACTGAAATGTTCTGGTTTTCTATGATCATGGGAACCCTGAAAGAATGAATATGAAAGTGAAGTGGAGAAGTGGAATAAATCAAATAAATCTTTGATGCTACATTTCTTTGGCTGCAGAGTATTTTAAGAAACATCATGAGGGCTGTTCAGAAATGTACATGATTTCATCCTGGCCAACACAAGCTAAAAGCCATCTTTTGCATTACAATGGAGATATGGATGCTGAATTGTATATAATTCACCAGTAATACCGTAATACAACAATTCACTGATGCAAAGTCATAGGACTGAGTGCTTTCCAAGTATTATAACCATCAAGTCAAGTTCTTTCTCTCAACAAATAAGGGCAAAATCTGCCTTAAGTGCAGATTTGGACACTTACTAATACCAATATAGAGACATTGTACAGAAAGCCTCCATACTTAATCTATAAACGACATTTCTGTTGAGAACTGCAAGTCTGAGTCAACACAGTTAATAGACTATGAATCTCATGTTATGATCTAATAGATTTCTGTAATGATTTTATGAAGATTCAAAAATACTCAAAGTAAGTCCAAGCTTATTAGGAAAGATGTCCATTCAACCTAGTATTGTCTATTCAACTGGCTAATAAGCTGTGAACGGCTACTGTTAAACCAGGTCAACGAGTCACTGGCAGGATTTCATGGCATGATTCGATTAAGCCGGTGAGAAACAGAGAGGATTCAGTGCTATTGAAGATAATCCGACTGTAATTCTATGGTAATGAGTATAATTTCAAGCACAATGTGTTGAGCATTAGTCTGGAGGAGAGAATGTGTTAAAAACTCACTGATTCTTACGACAGCAGAACCTTCTGCGAAAAAGCACCAAAATGAACATGACAGTAAAGTGAAGACACAGTAAACAGCTCTGAGTTACCTGTATTTCCCTGGCATGATATATGATAATCAACCCAAGAAGAATGATTGTAGAAAGGCTTATCAGGCATTTTAGGGCTAAAGAATACAGTGACTCCTGAAAAAAAAAGGAGAAAATGACAAATTCAGCTCATTTGGATTAGTCGGTTTAAACATACACAACAATTGCAAATCGATTAAACCTATAAAATATTATTGCAACACATTACTGTTTTATATGAATGATTCAGAGACTTTTGTGAGTGTTTGGATTAAGTTACACCTTCCTGAAAATATCACAACATAAGCACTAATGCAAGCACATCTGAGACCATTACATAATTTAAGTGAAATTGGACTAACCTTCGTTGTGGCAACATATTTACCTTAATTTTCAACATACTGTATTGACAAAAACAATGTCATTTTTAAGACACACTATGATTGATTTTCCTGGCGTTACTCTTACAGGGGAGACACGAGTGGTGATGTTTTGCTCGGATTGCACTATTAAAGTCATTCTGAAGCAAAAAAAAAATATGAATGTTGTCAATTGGAATCTCTGTGGCTAAATGATTTGCAGTAATGCATATCATCTTTGGGACGTTTAGAGGCATCAATTATTTATATTACTGTGATTATTTAATTATTTTAAAGTACTTATAGAAATAATAATACATCTATACACAAATAACACAATTATGGTTCAATATTCTACAGAAAGAAGAAGAAGAGTGTACAATTGACTCTAAAAGTGATGACAGGCTAGACTTATTACAGCAAAAGCAAAAGATATGTAATAATTACTAACTCAATTTGAGTTTCTAAGAGTTTCAAATAGATTAATGTATAACAGTTAGTTCCGGTAATTTGATTGGTCGAGCTTCCCAATAGGGCCTAGTTGTGCTATTTATTATAACAACATTAGGAAGTTTCACTGTTTGCCTGCGCTGTAAAAAATGATCGTGATTTTAACAGTAAAAGACTGTAAAAATGCTACAGTAAAAACCCGTTAACTGTTTTAACAGTAAGTTTCCATACTATAAACGGTGAATAATTATGATTACATTTCATATAATTTACAGTGAAATACTGTTAAAATTACAGAAGTGAAAAAGAACAAGTAATTTACAGTGAAAACCCGTAAACTGACACTATCAGAATTGACAGTGACACATGACACTTCTTTTATCTTTTTTTTAGGTTTTATCTTAAATCTAATGTTGTTAAATGAATGTTTCTTGCATTCTTTCAGTATCATATGTTACCATGATGGTGTTTAGTGTTTTGAGTGAATGACACTGTGCACCTTCTACATATATACAGAAGTATTTCCCTCCTCGGCTTATGGAAAAGCTGTTTGTGATGAGCTTTCGTCATGTGACTTTCTCATCACCACCTGTTTTTGGCGATTGTCAGTGCATTTCAATGGCACAAAACTGATATTAGTACTTCAGTGGGTTGGTATATTAACATTATATCAGTTAATGAAATACGTTTTTTTTTTTACTGTAAATTTAAGTTAAGTTTGTAAAACCTAAAATGATGGCACCATACATTTTACAGTAAAGTTCTGGCAACCACAGCTGCTGGTATTTTACTGTAAATGTTACCGATTTTATTTTATTATTGTTTTTTTTTACAGCGTGTGTTTGCGTCATTCCCGTGTTTTCTTTCGCAAACAGAAGCGGAGTTGTGTAATTTTGCATTCATTAATATTAATTATGTGTTTATTGAGCTGTTTAAATGTAATTTCACCCGCGGTCAAATCACAGCACTCCTGCTTGTGTGATAGTGCTTGAATATGCCCTTCATAAGAGAACATACATTGTAAATAAAGTTTAAGTTTATATTGGAACAATTGCACGTTACTAAACAATTCCAGAGAGGAAAACTGACGAAGTAAAGCGTCTTCAAGTAAACGTGACCTTGCCACAGTTTTTCATTCATCCATCCGCACCGCGCACTTTCCAAACTTGCAGTTTTCCCCCTCGCTCGCCAGCAGGCAGACTTAATGAGTTCTGACCTAGATGGGGGGACCTGCAGGATTTGGGGACTATTAGGTTACGCACCTTTCCGTAGGCTCCCCACGAGAGTTCAGTTTCAATGACCATCACCACGATGCCAAACATCCCAAAGATGAGCGCGTAGTCGCTCAGACGCTTTCTTTTCTCAAACAGGGCCCTCCTGTGTCCGAGCTTCTGTCCAATGTTCTGGTTCTTCTTTTTGCCCGATTTGCCGCCGCTGTGGCTACATCCACCTCCTCCGCCTCCGCCGTCCCCCGCCGAGTAAGGCATGAGGGTGGTGGAGTTGTTCTCCGGCTTGGAGGCGAGCGCGTCGGACGCGTCCGCCGCAGAGACGGGCTGCAGCGGCTGGGACTCCGAATCAAACTCGTGCAGGTTTCTGCGGGACGAGCTCAAGTTACTGAGCGGCCGCATCACGCCGCCGTTGTATCTGCAGCTGCTCATGGCTATTTGGGTGTAAGAGTTACTCTCTCGGTGGCTGCTGGCCGGACTGCCCCGAATTTGCTGCCGGTTAAGCTCGCGATGAGGATGATGATGGTGGAGATGATGGTGTCTGGATGAACTACCATGACTAGAGGGCGTGAACTCGCTGTACTGAGCGCCTTGCCTGGTTGAAGATGAGACGGACGGTGTCCTTAAAGTTCCCAGCGGCGTCCCGTGCAAAGGCTTGCTTTTTCTGGCATCCTCGCAGGTGGAGGAGCTGTTGCAGGTGCAGTGCCTGATGGAGCGCTCTTCCTCCCGTCCGCAGTAGTGCTGCTGGTGCTGCTTATAGTGCTGCTGCTGCTGCTGCTGCTGCTGCTGCTGCTGCTGCTGCTGCTGCTGCTGCTGCTGCTGCTGCTGCTGCTGCTGCTGCTGCTGCTGCTGCTGCTGCTGCTGCTGCTGCTGCTGCTGCTGCTGCTGCTGCTGCTGCTCTGGATAGAAATCGTTCTGCAACTGCAATGGGGTTTCCATCTCAGAGCTGCTGTTTAAAGCAGAGCCCCGTGCATTGCCCTACCGAGGGGGCGTTTTGATGAGTAACGGAGGATAAAAGCTGGCGCGAGGTTCGACCCACCTCGGCTTCTGTAGAAGTGCGAGGGCGCACCCGATTGGCCGAGCGACCCAAAACAACTGGGCTGACGTCACGCGAGGAAGGTGGCAACATGCGGTTCAAATGTGCAGCATTCACAACTCACTGTTTACTCAAGATCTTATAGCCATAGGTCTTTGACTTGTAAGGTATAATATTTATGGTCGTTGCTATATGAATGCGTGTTTCATAATAAGTTTATTTGGATTTCTTTTTAAATGTAAATTAAATGCATATAGAAATTGTAAAGATTTTTTAGAGGGTTTTGTTCAAAATTATGTTACACCATCAAAATCTTTCAAAAATCAAAACAAATCACAGAGCTGATCTGACATATGCATACCTTATTTTTAAATATGCACAATTAATATAGTCAAAATAGAAACATTTAGCTTAATTAATTCAATACTATGAACTACATAAAAAAAAAAAAAAAAAAAATATATATATATATATATATATATATATATACAGGTGCATGATCAATAAATTAGAATGTCGTGGAAAAGTTCAAAACTCAAATTGTGAAACTTGTGCATTAAATAAATTCAGTGCACACAAAATCAAAAATACTTTCCTTTTGATGAATCAAAAGCCCCACTGGTCACCTGACTAGGTTTACTCGCAAAACTGGCTGACTTTAAACAATAGCAGCATGCCACAAGATTAGGGAAAACAAACAAGTTAATTTCTACACTTTCCAGACACAAACTGGCCATTTTCATTTATTAAACAGCGCGTTCTTTTTTAACGAATAGCCTACCATTTACATTGCTGCATGATAAATGCAATGTTATTAGATTCTTCGTCTGATGATGCATAATCTGTATGCAAAGGCATAATATGAAGACCAGCACGTGTGAAACAGTCGCTGCAGTATTACTGCCGTCGCAGCATCAGCAGCATCTGAAACCCTTTGTTATTGTTGTCTCTCCTCTTGCCAGCTTGCATCCTTATGAAACCAGATCAAGCGCACTGGTGCACAGGAATGCTGTCAATCAAATAACCAAGTTACACTAATAAATTACACAGTCGGCCATCTCATTACATCTCGAAGCCAGAGTTGATTTATGCGTTGCGTTTCCGAAACTAGACAGATTTAATTTACTTAAACAGTGCAGGTTGCATTCAAAGACATGTGATAGTTTTATACTGCTGCATTTTCAGTGGGAAAGTAGGCCTACTTTCTTACATATTTTGTTCAGTTTATTTGTTCAGTTCACTTGAGTCTTAAGTTTTTATGTAAATGTAAAAAAAAGAAAAATTAAATTTTTAACTATTCAATCTTATCTATTTGACCGTATACACTATACACCGTATAGTGAAATATTACATTGTATATTGTGAAATATACATTAAAGTGTTATTAATATTATTAACAGAGACATTATTAAATATTATTACAATAAAAAATGTTTTCTATTTGAATATATTTTACTATGTATTTCATTCCTGTAATGACCGCTGAATGTTCAGCATCACTGTCACATGATCCTTCAGAAATCATTCTAATAAATCATTCCAATGCTCAAATAGTTTTGGTGCTGAGTTATTAATAACGATTCTTCTTATCAATGTTAAAACAGTTTTTGCAGCTTAATATTTTGTGGAAACATTTTTTCAGGAGTCTATGATGAATAGAAAGTTAGTTTTAGTTGAAATGGAATCTATTGTAACATTATGCATGTTTAATGTCATTTTTATTAATTTAATGCATATTTGCTGAATAAAAGCATGCATTTCTATTACAAAACAAGCAAACGTATACACACATTCCCCAAGCATTTGAATGGAAGTATATAATGGTTTCCGCTTAAATATTAAGCAGCACAACTGTTTTCAACATTGACAATAATGTTTCTTAAGCAGCAAATCAGCATATTAGAATGATTTCTGAAGGATCACGTGAGACTAATAAATTAAATAATAATTCAGTTAAAATAATAAAATCGTAATGTATCGTATTAAAGTTCATGCTCTCACTGCTCGGTCCTGTGCTTTTATACAGTCTATGGTCCTGTGACTACAGGTGCCTACCGTCACGGCCACCGTAGTTACAGATGTTACAACTGGTTTTCATTCATTAAATACATTAGGTACAATACAACCGGTGAAATATCCCAAAGACTCATAACGTGTAGAGAACCCCTCAAGTAGGCTGTGAACTTGAGACAAAACCCTGTTCTTCAAATTGATTTAATAATGTTTTATTTAATGTTTTAAGTGGCTATCCCACAATGGCTAACAAATAAAATAGCATTAATTAGAGTGTTACCCATCATAACAAACCTATGACAAACAGATGAAAATTAAGTATGCAAATATTACAAAAACGTCATCGCTGTTGATTATATTGATTTTTATTTATATTCTAACAATGTCACTTCGAGATTTAAAAAAAGTTTGTCCCCTTTGTCTTTATTTATAGTAAAATAACATTTTAAATAAAAAAACTTGACTACTAACTAGAATAAGAAACATCAGTAAAGTGTTGCCAGTCCAAACAGTGTAATAAGCCTCTCCAGGGCTTGCGTTGTTTTTGCCTGACGGCATCCAGTGCTTTATTGCTTTCTTCTAGTCAGACAGTATCATTCCAGAGACTCCTGAAAGCAAACGTCCATCAGGATCATCTCATTGCCCTTTCTGACTCTGACTCTGATATTGAGAAAACAGGCAGTTCCATGATGCCAGTCAGGTCAGGAATCAACTTCAGTATTTGTGATTGAGACCGAGGCATAATATAAAGCGCTCCCACACTGTAAACATTTTTTGTATATTTATTTGTTAACTGTTTATGGTTTAACAATGTAATTTTACTGTAAAATTTTGTGGTTTTTGAAAGGAAAAACTATGAATTACCATATAATTTATTGCGAAACACAGTAAAAGGGCATTCCCAGAAATTCCTGTGTTACATATAACATAAAAATATTTTGGTAAAAATGTTATCATCTCATTTTTGTTATCAGTACTGTACATTAGGGTGTTTTGTATTACATTTTATGTTATTTAGCTAATGTTTTTCCATTATTTTAGTGCCGTGTGTTACTCAGATGTTGTTTTGTGGTCTATATACAAGTATTGGCCATATTTTAGCAACAGGCTATTTATGATGTACTTAGAATGATTCATCGTGTGACTCTCTATTGAACGACATGCATTATTAAAGTGGTTATCAGTACATTTTAAGGTAAAATGCAGATTTTGTTATGTAAACATTATATCACTTTAGGTGTAAAATATACAGGCATCAATATGCCGTCCTGCAATACACAAAACACTGTCACTGTATTTTTTACAGTGAATTTCTGGCAACCACAGTAAATTTAACAGGTTATTGAATATTTTGTTAATTTATATTTTGGATTTATTTATATTTTGTAAATTTAACAGGAGACAGTGCATGCAACACTGCATTGTACAGTTGATTTGGTTTTTTTAGAACTCTATACTGACACTCTAGCTGACTAATCAATAATGTTGTTGACTATTTTCATGAGTTATCGTTTTGATTGCAGCCCTACAAACTTATATAATGCAAAAAAGTCTGCAAGTTCTGTCTGCACATACTTTGAAGTGCTCACATGCATGTACAATATATATATATATATATATATATACATATATATATATATTGAGACTCAACCTTATAATTGATCATGAAAATTTATTGATTTTATCAAATAGTTGTAGCCCTACAAAATGTTACAATGGTATGTTTGATATTTTGATATCAAGGCAAGAAGAGCCTAAGAAGACAAAAGTGCTATCGTCTGAGGATGAGATATCACTGTCTGATGAAGAGGAAGTAACTGTGGTGAAGAGGAGGCTGAAGCACAGCAGAACAACAAGATCTACCTCACAAGCTCTACAAACACAGCAGAAAGGAACACCTATGGTAAAAACAAGCGCTTTCTACACCCACTGTGACGATTTTTGGGTGCATTTCGGCCATCGTTTGGGCTGCATGTCAATAATCATCTCATTGACGTTTTAGGTGACCAATAGCACGTGCCCCTCACCCCTGAAGACGTCTGGGATGGCAGGTACAGAGAAGCAGTCACTACAATCTGACCAGCTCCCATGATAAAAGCTCATTGAGCGCTTGAATGGCTTCAGTATTGCTGAATCCAGCTGAGTTTGAGGTGAAATGCATTTGCTGCATTGATTCGTGTACTGCTGAGCCTTGTTGACATTCTCTCCTTTTCAGCGTCTGAATCTGGCCACGAAAGGAGACAGCAGCAGATGTGTAGCGCTTCCCAGGAGAGTGACAACTCCCATCACAGCAAAAAGGCGGGCTTCTGCGGTGAGCTCAGAGCCAGTCGTTGGATTAATATGGGACGTTCCCTATTTGATCCTCTCAATACTGACAGCAAGGCATTTTATGCCACTGCAAATCCACTGAAGCTAAATTGAAAAGAGTGTCCCGATCAAGGACACTAACACTACAGGCGCATCTCAATAAATTAGAATGTCATGGAAAAGTTCATTTATTTCAGTAATTCAACTCAAATTGTGAAACTCGTGTATTAAATAAATTTGACATTGGTTTTCAAAAAACACAATGGACCAACATGCTACTGTTCTCTCGGTTGGTTGTGCATCTTTTTCTTCCTACTTTTTCCTCTGTTAAAATGCTTGGATACAGCACTCTGTGAACAGCCAGCTTCTTTGGCAATGAATGTTTTTGGCTTACCCTCCTTGTGAAGGGTGTCAATGATTGTCT